ACAAAAAGCTCAAACAAAGCAGAGCAAAAATAAGCAGAGTGTGCAGTTACGCTGGCATCAGGGGAGGCTGGGAAGGCCAAGGGGAGAGAAAGCAAGGACGAAGTCAGCTCCTGCATGTGTGGTAATTTTTCAGAGATCTGCTATGAAACGACTCTTTTTTCTGAACTTCTGATACATCATTCATGGGTTTTTTGTGGTAATATTAAACCACACATCATACCTAAGGAGTATTTTCATTTCTCCAACAAAGTTGTTCACTTTGGCTTACTTCGATGAAATACAGTCCTGGCTAACAATCAAGGAATTTGAAATGCCAAGTAGTTGTCTCTGAGAAATCCCGATTTGCCCAATTTAAAGAAAGCTTGTTTTTTCATTAAGAATAAAAACGGTAGGCTGAACCCACAACTAGTCAAGGGACTGTGGAAGCTTAACCCCAGGTAAGACCCCGTATCAACTGCTTCCCGTTCCCACAAGGCTCAGAGGTCACTGTGGAGGACAGCAGGGAAAGTGAGTAACAGGCAGTGGATGGCAACTGCCCAGATGACCTCCCAGCAACTGTGACACATGCGTGAGATGTAGCTAAGACAAAGTACCAGCATGGACAGGAGGTAGGCATGAAGTCCCACCCTTAGGAGCTCCTGGCAATGGGTCGCTGCTGGGATAAGGAGAGTCAATTTGCTTTAAGAATCTACTTCCTGGTAAGTCAACCACATTCCATGGCCACACACCCAAGAGATTATGAACAGCACAAATGGGACCTAACGGTTTCTTGGTTTTGTTTGTTTGTTTGTTTTCAGGAGCACATAATGCTGGGAAATGGAGAGACGATCTGGCAGGAGTTGGAGGAAGTGGTATAAATGATCAAAATTCGCTAGAGGATGTCCTCAAAGAATGAAAGTATTCCTCAATGGCGATCTGAAGAGATGGCTCAGTGTCTCGGCATGCAGGAAGCATTCCCTGCCTGACTTCCTAGTGCCCACAGTGAGAGGCACCACAGGCGCCCATATACCCAGGCAGGAAAGAGTCACCATGGGACACGGCCATCTGGAGTACAGCAGCATAGGAGGCCATGTCTCTTCATTAGCAAGTGAGTGAGAAAACAGAAAGGAATTCCTGGTATTTCTTAAAAGAGATTTTCCTCTGTGTAGGAGCCTAAAAGGATTACTTGTGAAGGAACAGGCTCCATCAATTACAATAGAAGAAAACCTGTTTAGAGAAAACTACTTTATTGGGGGAAAATGACTTTAGGACATTTGAAATACCTTGACCTATGATGTCATGTCCTCCAAGGAGTCTGAGCCAGCAATTCTTCTCTGGCCATGAAGTCACCCATCACCTCAGTGTACAGGTAAGTAATAGCTTTGGATTGACTGCCTTCAGGGAATAATGCCCGCAAGTCGTACACATCAGCAGAAGCCCAGGAAATCTAATTCTGCTGCATTGTTCTCCACCTGCCGGAGGCCATGACTGCATTTACACACTGCCCAGGTCAGGATCACAGCTGCTGCGGGGTTTTCCCTCTGTCAGTCTGCCTTCCAGCGGCTGCGGGTAAGGCATTGTGTATAACACCGCCATGGGGTCCTATGTGATCCATGTGGAGCTGTCAGGATGGGGAGAAGGGCTAGTTCTGCAGGGTACACCCTAGCTGGAAACTCCCTTCAAAGCCTAGTGTTGAGTTTTTAATGCCCCCACGGAAACTTTGGTTTAAAAGAAACTTGGTCAGCGTTGAGTAAGAGCTTACTACAGTCGGTATGGCACAGCTGGTGTGTAGAAACAGAGGGAGAAAAACACATGAGAAATGACGATGGCAACGAAATTTACAAATGCAAAGGGAAACGCTATAAAGAGAAAACACAAAGACTGATGAATGCTGTGGAAGGCCTGGGGTAACTGGTTCCCATCTTTCTCCATAAGGACGGACAGACACCAGACTTGACAAAGCAATATATGTGATATACGGACGGAAACAGGGTCTTCAAAAGGACCCCTTTTATAAAGAAATGATAATTAGTAAGGGAAATGAAATATCTACTAATGACTATGTCAACAGCACAAAAAAGGTCCAGTTCCTGTTAGTGGGAATTCTATGATCAAGCTTGGTAGTGATTATACACTCACATACCACATACGTGTGAAGTAAAAGGGTAGATACTAATTAATAGTCCGAGGCTAAGGTGTTAATGCCAAATGAAGATGATCAAGAGACGGCTCTGATTTCCTCACGTGAGGATTAAGCGAGATCCAGGAGACAGCTCAGGCTGCCTGGAGCAGACAGGCAGAGAGCTCTCTAAAGCTGGGAAACCAAGTGTGCATGAGACTCGCAGGCCACCAGGCGACGATGGGTGTGCCGCTCTAGAAGAACTTAGAAAGTATTCTCATGAATACATGGACGCCAAAAACAGTGCTCTCACACAAGCAGACACAACTGCAGGACTAGAAGCTGGGGGGGGGATGTCAAGAGCTCTTCAGAGAGCAGGTGTACAGGAGGACTAACTTCTATCTACAGCACAGCGGGGCAACTGCCCAGCTGCACATCCCAGAAGACCCAGTGAAGAACATTTGGAACCCTACCCTCACTGATAGTGTAAGAGGTGATGAATATACGAAAAATAGACAAGCTGAGTTGCCATGCTATGACATACAGTAAAGACATATAACCACTTTGTGAAATTAAAAAACATTAACAAAACAGGGAGAACCCACTTACCTTGGGGCAACCCAGGCCAGAAGAGGGAAAAGAGGCCCAGGAGAGCAGGTCACCGCTTCTACCCATCCCCTGATTCTACGTGAGGAGCACAGGCTTTCCAGGTCCTCAGACCCACAGATCCAACCTGAGCTGTGGGGTGCGGCCCACAGGAGTGGGAGGACTTTCTAAAAACTGTTTTGTAAAATAAATGGAGCCCACTAAGCACAAGTTCTACCACTGAGCCACACGCCCAGCTTGGGGTGTAAGGTGTGTCTGAGGAATGCCCATTTGAGGAGGGTTCATCTGTATATCAAAGGTAATTTGGGCTGATAGAAACTAGTAAACTCTGTGTGTGTGTGTGTGTGTTTGGCATGTGTGTATACATGTACATATACACATGTGAAAGCCAAGAGTTAGATGCTGTTCTCAGGAATCGTATCCTTGTTTTTTCTGAGTCTCTCACTGGCCTGAAGGTGGTCTACGAAGCCTGGCTGACTGGCCAGTGCGCCCCAGACAGCCTGCCTCCCATTCTGTACATGCAGCACCTAGCTTTTGATGCGGACTCTGGGGACCGAGCTCAGGTCCTCACACTGACACAGCAAATACACCACCGACTGAGCCATCTCCCTGCTTCAGTAAATCCTTTCAAACACACACAGGAATGGAAGTATTCCCGTACTTAAGAGTACCAGATATATTCCCTGTACAACACAAGAAGAAGAGAAACATTGCGACTTCACGCAGGATGCAAGCTTCCATTACAACAAAATCTTTCCCTGCCTGCGCCCACTGCTTCCCGCCCCTCCTGCTTAGCTCTCAGGGCTGGGGTACTTTCCGTGACATTTTCAAATGTGTATGAATAGGAAGCAGGGGGATTCGCTCCTCATTTGATTTATGACCAAACACATCGAGTTCTTTCTGTTTGGGGCCCGAATGGGTCGTGAATTGAGCTACAGCTATCCCATGGCCCATAATGTCACTTTCCTGCAGAGCTACGATGGAAGAACGATGGCTAACTAAACTGTTCTCCGCTGACTCCAATACGCACTTACTGAAGGGAATGGCTAGGGATGTGGATTTCACTAAAGAGCACACAGACTAATTCCAACTCGAGTGCAGCCAGAATTAGACACTGGATACCACGGCAACATCAAAGGGGACTTTCATTGCTGATACATCGTTAAAGGTGACAATCATATTTCAGTACCCATGATTTAAGTCCAGAACATATCATCTTCGCACAGAAAATTAAAATAATTTTGGATGAGGTACATATGGCATGCATGCATGCATGTGCATGCACGCGCACGCACACACACACACACACACCTACCTCTAGAGCATGAGTCTCCAAACTTGGGATTTTCACTCTGATTTTAGAGCAGCTTATCAATATCTTTAGGTCACCCCAAAATTTTAGCATGCTTAATCCCTCCCAGTCTCTCTTAATACTTAATAAGATCATAATGATTTCGTATAAATCCAGCTGAGGCTATAAAAACCCAAGTACTATGAGGAACACTTTCTAATCCATTTAGAGTCCCAAGAATGCCCTGCTAGAGTAGAGGCATCAGTATCTATAATCTGTTTTAAGAAACTTTAGCTTAGAAGTTTTAATGCTCTCTGGGTGAATTATAAATTCATTTTGGATATATTCGATTGACTAATCAAGTAAGGTCTTATAACTATTCACAAATCTGTTCTCTGTGAGCATTCAGACGCCCTCTGCAGGCTCAGTACCCCTGCTCTGCAGAGGATCCTCAGGCTCCGTTCTGCACTGTAGGAGAAAACCCCAAAGATTCACACAAGCTCATGGCTTTCAGTCACTGCAGTAGACCTGACTGATCTACACAAGCTCAGCATTATAGCAGAGGAGATGAAATCACATGTCAGTCACCATGTCCCCGTTAGCAGGGCGCTATGACGTAGAACATAACATTAGCCTAGTAACAACCAAAGGCCCGCCTGCCTGTATCACCACCCAAGGACAGTTCCCAGAGACAGCCCAGCACAGTGCAAACAACCTCACCTTTCTGTGTTTGCAAAACTAATGCTGAGAGGAGTAGTAGCCAGCTTCTTTCCCATGACCCCAAACTACCACAGACTGAACTCGGACCAGACTGGAAACCACACCCTTCCCCTCCAGCCTGGAAACGGAAAGACATTACTCAACAAACATTTTGCTTTGCACTTCTCCCTTGGAGAGCCACCACCGATTAGCTCGTGTCCTCAGATCTAATGACTTCAATGCTTGCTGGCCAAAACAGTGATGGCTTCCCTTCCTTCGGCAGAACACCAAAGCACAGCAACTCACGTAGTAGCTGTCGAGTCTCCACAGTGCCCTCCATCTGCTGCAAGGTGGTTTCCATCTGGCCCAGAGGGCCCATGGGCAGCTGAGGTTGTGGGAGATGGGGTGGACAATGAGTCCTGACTGCTGGTGGCGGTGTCCTCCTTGACAGGGCTGCAACTATCCCCTAGAAGGAAAGGAGCACTAGACTTCAAACACAGAAGAAAAACAAATAACTCTCCTAATAATTAAACGACATTATTTACCAGTCAGTCATATTATTGTCAAAATTATACTTATAATTCAGCCCAAGAGTACGTGGATTCCCTGCCTTTGAAGGTTTGCACCTGTGGATTTGTCTTCCTTCCTCCCCTTCCCTTCCTTCATCTCTCCCTTCTTTCTTCCTCCCCTTCCCTTTCTTCATCTCTCCCTTCTTCCTTCATCCCTCCCTCCCTCTCTCCTTCCTTCCTTGCTTGCTTCCTTCCTTCTTTCCTAACTAAGACACTCAAGAGCTTATCACAGTTTGGATATGGAGTGCTCCTGAAGACCAATCAGCTAACAGCCTGGCTGCAGAGAAGGCTGCATGGACTGAGTGACCAACTTTAAGTGGATGCTCTCCCTGAACTGTGCCTCCTTGTAAAGTCTTGTCCTGTCCTAGTCACAAACACATTCTAGAACTAACGCTTAATTTATCTTTCAGTTAAGTAACTTTGTCGATAGCCCTTCAGCACAAACATATTTGTAATAGGAGAAATTCAGTCCTAACAGTAGGGCCAACTTTAGGCAAGTGAACCAAGGCAATGTTAGAATATTGCTTCGATTCTCTTTAGAATGGAGTTCTCTCCGAAAGCACGACCGCCTCTTCCTGAGGTTAGAAAGCTCAACTCCAGTTCTTTTCCACACTAGTGCACACTGTGTCCCTCTGTCACTGTGCATTACCACTCCACAAAACTGAGAGGGACTCAGCTGGGTGTGCTGAACTCAACTTCGAGCTCAGGACTCCGGGGGCTCAAAGGCTGCAGAATTTGATGCAGGCATCCAATCTGGTCTACCTAGTGAGTTCAAGTCAGACTAGACTACATACAAGACTAGAAAGAGGAGGCTCAAAGATAATTTCTATGGCTTATGTGTGAAATGCACCCCTCCACACAAATAGATTTGTGTGTCTGAAGCTGTCTTGAAAGGTTATATAGCCTTTAAAAGGGGGAGCCTCGCCCGAGGAAGTGGGCCACTAGGCACTGCTGTTCTTGAGGTTTTATGGTCTAGTCCTACTTCCTTTCCCCTCACTGCTTCCTCACAGGGGATGCAATGAACCTAAGCAGGTGCTACCCAGATGGACTGTGTGTATCCCTCCAGCTATAAGTCCAAAGAACTTATCTCATCCCTTAGTTGGCTTCTTGACAGGGATATGGCCACAGCAATGATAAAAACACCCTCAGCATCAACCTACCTTTAAGACAGGTAACCAATTCAAGGTCAACTACAAGAACCCGATTTGGCAACCCTTGGTGAGAGGGACACACACAGCTGGTTTCCTGGCTCCCTCAGGCCATGCTTACCCACTGACTCCAAGGCAGTGCCTAACATAGCAAAAGCAACTGTGGAGAACCTGGGAGCAGCTTCTCTCTGACTCATTCCTTCCAGGGGAAGGGCTGCAGATGAGAAGCAGGTTTGGGGAGCCTGAGAGCAGAGGTCTAATGTTACTTTAAAAACACCACCAGACAGAGCAGTTCATTTTTACAGTGCCTCTGGTCCTCTCCCCAGGCAGGCTGACACAGCACAAACTGTCACTCAGCATGCTGAGTCACACTCTATTAAGGGCACTGTCTTCCAGCCTGCCAAACAGTGGCAGTCTGAGCCCACAGGTGAGAGTGACATGGTAGATGGGATATGTTTACAGACTGAGCAGATGCAGACACCTCACACTGCTTTCTCAACATACAAAACCCTCTCCCCGTCTCTGTTCCGGGGTGAGTCTGTCTGCTGGACAAGGATCACTGTGTACAAGGAGGAACAAGAATCACACCCATTATGTCCATCAATAGTCAGACTTGTAACCATTTCCCAAACTCCAGTTCACCACCTCTCCTAATAGTGTGGGTCAACAATATATTTGAATGTGGAAACAGAGAGGTCAATCCAGAGTGTCATGTTCAGACACGCTTGTTTCCTTTGATACAGGATCTCTCACTGGCCTGAAAATTAGCAGTAGTCTATGCTGGCTGGTCAGCAAGCCACAGGGATCCCCCTGTCTCCACCTCCCCTTCTCTACAATTGCAAGCATATACCACCATGCACAGATTTGTTTTTCAATGTGTGTTCTAGGGTAGGAGTCAGGTCATCATGTTTGCAAGTAGTTCAGTTACTGGGGTATCTCCTAAACCCATACTCAATGCTTTCTAAAGCCTGCGTCTGAAATCTTGTCAGACTAATTTATGACTGAGCATGCATGCCGGGCAAGCATTCTACCAGAGGGTCACAGCCACAGCCCCACTCTGGTCCTTTTCATCTCTCACTTCCTTTAGTAAGGCAAGCTGATGGGGAGGTCCTTCTGTATGCTGTGAATATATGCTTCTCTTATTGGTTGATGAGTAAAGCTGTTTTGGCCAATGGAGAGGCAGGATGTAGCCAGGCAGGAAGCATGGGTGGGGCTACCAGACTAGGAGAATGCTGGGAAGAAGAACACAGAGAACGAGTTGCCAGAAAGATGCCTTGTAGTTGCTGAGGAAGCAAGAGACCCAAGTACCACCGGTGAGCCAAAGCCATAAGGAGAAGTGTAGATTAATATATATGGATTAATAATTAAGAGAGAGCTAGCCAATAAGAATGCTGTGTCACAGGCCAAATAGTTTATAATTAATATAAGCTTCTGTGTGCTTATTTGGGATGGTGCAGGACAGAAACTCCATCTACATCAATCTTTCCCCTCAGGTCCCAGCCACCCTTGAATGGACATCTACAAGCAGTCCTGTGAATAAAAAGAGCGGCGTGTGGTACTAAACACCTTTTGTTTTGAACAATCACCAACACATAAGACAACAGCCCACACCCAGCTTAAGCCTGACCTCCACCTAACCCTTGCCAACCCGTCTGCACTCTCCTCTCTCAACCAAAGCAGCATCCATCTGGCATTTTGCTGCTGCATATTATTTCAAGAACCAATCTAGCCTGCCACCCAACTTCCATGATGTGTCTCAGGCTTGGTAATCTTTTACAGGCACACTGTGTTGCCAGGCAAGACTTGGGGAAATGCAACGGATGCTCTGCTACAAGAAACATCATGGGTATGAAAGCCACAGCCTCCAAGAGCGAGCCAAGAATAGAGGATCTAGATTTTTCAATGCAGTTCCACAAAGCCGGCTAGCGGCTTCCGCTTCTCAGCTCCTCCCTTCCAACCACAAACATCTCCAGTGCCTGTGCTCTGCCCTTCTGACTACTCACCAGGCACATCAGGGACAAGGCCTTACAGTAACAGCATCAGTCCCCAGCCCAAAGGTGTTCACAGGTTAACACTAGAGACGGTGACAATAAACAGCAAAGGTGGTATTTGCACAATGAGACTTTGTAAGGGGCTTTGAGACTTGGAAATAACAGAGTTTCAGAACCCGAGGCAGAGGGCGGGAAGACATGTGGGAGACATGCGACAGGGATGAGGAGAGATCACTGCCAGACTTTCAAAGAACAGAGGCTTGCTCTGATAGAGAAGCGCCAAGGCCGAGACCAGTGAGAGCTTAGCAGTTTTCAGGGCCGTGAAGTAGTTGGACTTGGCTGGAGTATGGGGGGCAGAGGAAGAAAACAGGGTTCTGTGTGCAATGCTGGGACATCTGAATTTACCTGCAGCTGGAGAGATGCCCCTGCAGGAATGATAGGGGGCAACACATACAGAGAATGGATCCAGGAGGCATGCAGGCATTGCAGTCAGCAGAACTCAGAGAAGACAAGTGAGGGTAAGAAAGTGACTCAGAAATTCCCCGCAAAACTAGACAGAAAGGCATGCCAGGGGATCACGCATTTCACTATTGAGTGTGATTTATTAGTGTTTTCTTGCAGGACCGAGGACCGAGCCAGGGTCTGACATGCTGGGCAAGTGCTCTAGCAGGGTCTTAGTTGGGGTTTCTATTGCTGAGATGAAACACCATGACCAAACGTTGGAGAGAAAGGTTTCTTTTTTAAGCTTACACTTGCATATCACTGTTCATCACTGAAGGCAGTCGGGATAGGAACTAAAGGGCAGGCCCTGGAGACAGGAACCAACGCAGAGGCGATGGAGGGTGCTGTTACCCACAACTTGCTCAGCCCAGGGTGCTGTTCCCCACAACTTGCTCAGCCCGCTTTCTTATAGAGCCCGGGACCACCAGCCCAGGGGCGGCCCCACCCACAATGGCTAGGCCTCCCCATCGGTCACTACTTATGAAAACGCCCTGCAGGCTTGCCCACGGCCCACCTTATGGAAGTGTTTGCCAAGCTGAGGTTCCCTCCTCTCTGATGCCTCCAGCTTGTGTCTTACCACATTTAGCCAGCACACCGAATGAACCCCAAGTGGGATTTGATCATGAGCTTGAGGGGGTGGACAGCACTTTGTCTTCATAATCAACAAGACTCAGAGACTGAAAGGAAGAGATCAAGAAGGGAGAACTCGAGGACCCACAGCTCTACCGCAGCCAACAGCCGACAGTAATTAACGTCACACTCTGCTAAGCTCTTATGCCTGGGACCTTCTTGCTCCATGATGGCCAGCTGTCCTCCCTGTTCAGCATGTGTGAAGGAGCAACAGCTCCGCACGACCTTACCGATCACGCCTCCTTTGTCATTGTCTCCCTGTCAGCACAGACCAATCCCCGAGTCCCTTCTTAGCTCTTCCTCCACTCAGCCTCAAATGTCATGACACAGATCCCTACAAGGCCTCTGCAGTTCTGCAAGTGCTGGGAATGGGTTCTCTGCAGGAGCAAGGCACTTCCGTGGCCCTCATTCTTTCCTTCCAACACTTTTTATCATTTAGTTTACATCCCAGCTATGGTTTCCCCTCCCTCCTCTCCTCCTAGTCCCCCGCACCACCACCCATTGACTCCTCCTCTCCTCAGGAAAGGGCAGACCTCCACAGACATCAACAAAATATGTCATATCAAGTGACAGTAAGACTAAGCACATCCCCAGGTATTAAGGCTGGGAAAAGCTAACCAGTATGAG